AAGGAACAAGATTAAATATAATTCCTATATAAATGTATACATATATGGAGTTATTAAACCAAAATAATACATATACAAGCATAGGTACCTTATTGCTAGTTAGAGAGAATATAATATATTCAAAAACCTGTGGACAATCTTACCTAAAAGGCATGACCATAATTTTGGTACAAAGCCCAGCCAACATGAATGTACAAATCCTGTCAAAGATAACTTAACAATTGAAGTGGGCTTTATGTGTAGGTAGAAGACCAAATATCAGCACAACAATACATTGATACATTCAATAGATATTTTGGTTGAGCATACAATAATTTAAAACAAGTTTGCCCACAAGCAAGATATTATTTTAAAACTCAATGCTAAAATAAAAAAAGATATCCCTATTTTTAATTAATGGTAAATATAATTGGCTTCAAATTTAAAGGCCCAATCAAATGCAAGTGTCTGAAAAGTAGGCATTAAGGGAACACAAACAGATGACGGGAAACAATAAGTTCATGAAAACCAAGTCATAGGATAGGCAACAGTTGCTACTAGGAAAACAATGTATCCGTTCCATCAAATTCAAAAAGATCAAGCCACTGTATTTCAACACATTGAAGGAGTAAGAAAATTACCAACCAAACATTGAGTACTCATTCCAATATTAAAGAGATGACTCAAATTAAATTAAATTGTTAAAAATATTGCAGTACAAGGTTCAAGGTTGATAACATCCTAAAATTCCACTTTGTGCCATTTCCATGGAGTGAGAAACCTAGTACTGAATAAGCAGCCCATATCTAACCCCACCCTCAAATGCCCTGTTGTTGAGAGCAAGAATCGAGAGTTGAAGAGGGCCAAGGCTGTGAAAGTGAAGGTGAATGCGGATGGGTTTGAGGACACGTTGAACAAGACTACTACTGCTACTACTTGTACTACTTCTGTTTCGAAGAATGCGTTTTTTCAGAGGCTATGGAGTGTTGATGAGAGATTGTGATTCTGCAGGGTATTATTGACTACACTGCCACCAAAGGCGCGGACCCCTCTGCCTACATGTATGCTTTTTTCCTTTTCATCAAGGATTCTATTCATGTTAATGATACCAAGACCCAATTGTCCGACAAAGTCCGCAAGTTGAAGAACAAATACAAGACCATTGCCATCAAAAGCTAAATTGCCCTCCAATCCCCGTAACCAACAACTCTATGATTTGTCCCAAACGATCTAAGATTTTAAAACTAATGCTACTAAACTTGATACCACAAACAATAACAAGGACGTGGTTCATGGGAAACCAATTCTAAAAGAGGACGCTCTTAACAAGATGGTAGAAATTGAAAGAGAATTGAAGAAGCTCCAAATCTACCAACTTCAACTCTACTTGAGAAGGGTAGAATTAATCCGCGAGAAAACAATTTCTTACTCCTTCAATGTGTTGAAATACAGTGGCTTGATCTTCTTGAATTTGATAGAGCAGATACATTTATATTTTAAGCAAACAATGTATCTGCTCTATCAAATTCAAGAAGATCAAGGCCATTGTATTTCAACACATTGAAGGAGTAAGAAATTGTTTTCTCGCGGATCAATTCTACCCTTCTCAAGTAGAGTTCAAGTTGGTAGATTTGGAGCTTCTTCAATTCTCTTTCAATTTCTACCATCTTGTTAAGAGCGCCCTCTTTTAGAATTGGTTTCCCATGAACCACGTCCTTGTTATTGTTATTGGTATCAAGTTTAGCAGCATTAGTTTGAAAATCCCAGATCGTTTGGGACAAATCATAGAGTTGTTGGTTACGGGGATTGGAGGGCAATTTAGCTTTTGATGGCAATGGTCTTGTATTTGTTCTTCAACTTGCGGACTTTGTCGGACAATTGGGTCTTGGTATCATTAACATGAATAGAATCCTTGATGAAAAGGAAAAAAGCATACATGTAGGCAGAAGGGTCCGCGCCTTTGGTGGCAGTGTAGTCAATAATACCTTGCAGAATCACAATCTCTCATCAACACTCCATAGCCTCTGAAAAAACACATTCTTCGAAACAGAAGTAGTACAAGTAGTAGCAGTAGTAGTCTTGTTCAACGTGTCCTCAACCCCATCCGCATTCACCTTCACTTTCACAGCCTTGGCCCTCTTCAACTCTCGATTCTTGCTCTCAACAACAGGGCATTTGAGGGTGGGGTTAGATATGGGCTGCTTATTCAGTACTAGGTTTCTCACTCCATGGAAATGGCACAAAGTGGAATCTTAGGATGTTATCAACCTTGAACCTTGTACTGCAATATTTTTAACAATTTAATTTAATTTGAGTCATCTCTTTAATATTGGAATGAGTACTCAATGTTTGGTTGGTAATTTTCTTACTCCTTCAATGTGTTGAAATACAGAGGCTTGATCTTCTTGAATTTGACGGAACGGATACATTGTTTTCCTAGTAGCAACTGTTGCCTATCCCATGACTTGGTTTTCATGAACTTATTGTTTCCCGTCATCTGTTTGTGTTCCCTTAATGCCTACTTTTCAGACACTTGCATTTGATTGGGCCTTTAAATTTGAAGCCAATTATATTTACCATTAATTAAAAATAGGGATATCTTTTTTTATTTTAGCATTGAGTTTTAAAATAATATCTTGCTTGTGGGCAAACTTGTTTTAAATTATTGTATGCTCAACCAAAATATCTATTGAATGTATCAATGTATTGTTGTGCTGATATTTGGTCTTCTACCTACACATAAAGCCCACTTCAATTGTTAAGTTATCTTTGACAGGATTTGTACATTCATGTTGGCTGGGCTTTGTACCAAAATTATGGTCATGCCTTTTAGGTAAGATTGTCCACAGCTTTTTGAATATATTATATTCTCTCTAACTAGCAATAAGGTACCTATGCTTGTATATGTATTATTTTGGTTTAATAACTCCATAAATGTATGCATTTATATAGGAATTATATTTAATATTGTTCCTTATATAGATAGTACTCAGAGATGGATTTCTGCTTCTCAAGAAGATTGCAAATGTGGCCAACGATTAAAGGCAAACTGAGAGTTGGAAACAGTGGCATAAAGTGGAACTGCTTGTTGTCAGTCTCGTGGAGAATGGAAAGTTAATCTTTTTCTATATTTTGTTTCTGTATGTAAATTTGGGCTAATTTTCATCCATCATTTTTCTAACTACTGATGTATGAATTAGCTCTCTGCTTGTTAGTATAAAATTTTTTAGCATAAATTCGGATCCTTAGGTTTAAGATAAAGATGTTATTTACTCTCCTAGTCATAGTGTGCTCTCATTTTCAAAGTACAAGAATTGTAAGTCGTAACTATTAAAATTAATTTTATATTATTTTGTTACAAAATAAGCTACAAGTCAATTTTCGGTGATGGTGAAAAAAATTATTTCTTCTTATGCCTTGTGTGAAATGGCCAAACAAGTCAATTTTATAGTAGAATGTCTAGCGGCCATTGTCGATTCAAGTAATTAAATACAAATATGCAAAATTAAACAACAAATTTGTTACACTTAAAAACCATAGACCAAAATTGACATGAGATACAAAGTAAGGAGTGTTAATGTGATTTGTCATTTTGATTAACATGCACTAATGGCTATAGCAAAACAAGCTAAATTGTTACTATGAGGCTTGTCTCAAAGAACGTACAATTATTAGACGATGTGAGAATTTTGAAATATAGAAATCTCAAGATATAATCAAACTATGAATGTTTTGGAACATAACGACAAGAAGATTTGAGATAGAAAATCACATACTTACTCAAAAATAAAGATGGTGTTTGGGAAGTGAGTTTTTATGTAGATTTTATTAGATGTAGGTTTTTATGAGATAAAAATTTTTTGGTGTTTGGGAAGATAGTTGGGTTTTTATGTGGTTGGATGTGATGTTTGTGAGAGAAAAAGTGAAATGATTATGGGGTTGGATGTGATATTTTGTTTGGATGTGTTTTTTTTGGTTTTGCAAAACTTTTGTCTTTTAGTGGAAAAAATGAGAAAAAAATTTGGGAACTTGCTTCCCAAACACCACCAAAATGAGCATATTGTTATATACAAAACATAAATACCAAATATTCATAATCAGGTAATTTCCCAAACCCCAACCAAAAACATCCTTGATTTGTGCATCAATCATTAACAAACCAAAAGCCATAATATACCTTACTAGAAGTAAAACTGGCCCTAATGTTATAGCGACCCCGGTCTTTTCTCTTTAAATTACTGTATCCGGACTTAGGTTCCGTGGATCCTGTCATTGCTTATTTGGTTGTTGTTGTCCTTTAATCTCTTTGTATTTGAAGTATAGGTTGGGTTGGGCGGGTCTGTTACAGGTTGGTTGATTTTAGATGCCTTATTCAATGCTTATATTTGGTTTAGTATTTTTCTATTGGGCTGTGGCTCACCCTTTATGGGAACATCATTTTCAGGTTCAGGTGATAAGCTACCTCCACGGACTTAGCCTGGAAGGATTTGATGTTTGGGATTTGAAGACTTGCCTTTAGTTATAGGTTTTATTTTGTTATTTTGATATTTCATGTAAACATTCAAGCCTAGGGCTTAACTTGTAAATGAGTTAGTACTCATCCTTTTTGTGTCCAAGTGTTAGCTTGGAAAGATGTAAGCCCTTAGGGCATTTATTTTGATGTTGCAAGATGTTACATGTGATGTCTTTCAATAAGAATACTCTGATGAATAACCCAACTGATTCGTTTTCTTTTATAAATGCATGTTAATGTTATGGTTATTATGGGTTTATTTTGAGGGCGTGACAAATGTCTTAATAACACAAAAAAAAAAAAACACTGCATATCCATAACCAATTAAGTACTAATCAAACTCCTTCCTACCCAAACAAAAGAAACTTCTCTTCTTCTTCTTCTTCTTCTATATCAGTCAAGATCAAACCAAAAACCATAAGTTATCTTACTTTACGGATTAGAGAAATAGCTTTGTTTGCTCGCGGATCAATTCTACCGTCTTCAAGTAGAGTTGAAGTTGGTAGATTTAAAGCTTCTTCAATTCTCTTTCAATTTCTGCCATCTTGTTAAGAGCACCCTCTTTTAGAATTGGTTTCCCATGAACCATGTCCTTGTTATTGTTAGTGGTATCAGGTTTACCTGCATTAGTTTGAAAATCCCAGATCTTTTGGGACAAATCATAGAGTTGTTGGTCATGGGGGTTAGAGGGCAATTTAGCTTTGGTGGCATTGGTCTTGTATTTGTTCTTTAACTTGCGAACTTTGTCAGACAATTGGGTCTTGGTATCATAAACATGAATAGGATTCTCGATGAAAAGGAAAAAAGCATTCATGTCGGTAAAAGGGTCCACACCTTTGGTGGTAGTGTAGTCAATAATACCCTAGAGAATTGCAATGTCATCATTAGCACCCCACAACCTCTAAAAAAACACCTTCTTCAAAGCAGAAGGAGTACAAGTAGTAGCTGTAGTAGTCTTGTTCAACGTGTCCTCAACCCCATCCGCATTCACATTCACTTTCACTGCCTTGGCCCTCTTTGACTCTCGATTCTCGCTCTCAACAACAGGGCACTTCAGGGTGGGGTTAGATATGGGCTTCTAACTCAGTACTGGGTTTCTCCCTCTATAGAAATGGCACAAAGTGTAATCTTAGCATGTAATCGACCTTGAACCTTACACTACAACATTTTTAACAATTTAATTTAACTTGAGTCATATCTTTAATAGTGGAACGAGTACTCGATGTTTGGTTGATAACAAAGTTAGTTATGGAATCAGTAGAGTAAGATAACTTACGGTTTTTGGTTTGATCTTGACTGATATAGAAGAATAAGAAGAAGACAAGTTTTTTTTTTTGTTTTTGTTTGGGTAGGAAGGAGTTTTATTGATACTTAATTGGTTATGGATATGCAATATTTTTGTGTCACTAAGACATTAGGGTGGATTTTACTTCTAGTAAGATATATTATGGCTTTTGATTTGTTAATGATTGATACACAAGTCAAGGATGTTTCGGGTTAATTATTTTGTTTTTGGTTGGGGTTTGGTAAATAACTTATTATGAATATTTTGTATTTATGTGTTCATATATAACAATATGCTCATTTTATTTTGGAGTACGTATGTGATTTTCTGTCTCAAATTTTCTTGTCCCTATGTTCCAAAACATTCACAGTTTGATTATATCTTGAGATTTCTATATTTCAAAATTCTCACATCATCAAATAATTGTACGTCCTTTGAGACAAGCCTCATAGTAACAATTTAGTTTGTTTTGCTATAGCCATTGGTGCATGTTAATCAAAATGACAAATCACATTAATACTCATTGCTTTGTATCTCATGTCAATTTTGGTCTATACTTTTTAGTGTAACAAATTTGTTGTTTAATTTTGCATATTTGTATTTAATTATTTCAATCGAAAATAGCCACTAGACATTCTATACCAAAATTGACTTATTTGGCCATTTCACACAAGGCATAAGGGGAAATAATTTTTTTCGCCTTCACCAAAAATTCCTTTCTACACCCATTATCCATTTTTTTTTTTTTTTTTTTTTTTGTAAGGTATAAAGGCGTAATTGCATAAAATGGATGTAGATAGAAATATTTAAGGTGTATTTGGAAGGTTTTTCAACCTCAGCATTATTCTCTCTTCTTTGCTCTGTTTATCTTCTTGCTCTTCTCTTTGCATCTTTCTATAACAAACTCAGGACCTCCATGGCCATTGCCACTGTAACTTAGTAATGGCAACGGGCCTGGGCGGGGCCGGGGACTGCCCTCCCCGTCCCTGATCCCCGTAGATTAAAACATCCCCGCCCCTGCCCCCGATCGGGGAGCCCATCACCCTCTCATCCCCGTCCCCTAACGGGGATCGGGTTTCCCCGACCCCGAAATATCCCCGAGCTTTTCTTCTTTTTTTTTTTTGAATTTTGTTCAACAACTCACTGACTAATCAGCATATATCACAAATCAAAAAAAATAAAAAATAAAAAATTAACAGATCAATATATAACAGATCTAACAGATGAATATATAACAAATCAATATATAACTAACACAGATTAAAAAAATATATTCTGAACAATACAGATAAACAACAATACAAATCTGAGTACAGATCAACAACATCAGATCAAAGAGAGAGAGATAGAGAGAGAGATAACAGATCTGAGTACAGATCTGAGTACACCATCGTCTGGCACAGATTTGGCGAGATTGACGGTGGCTGTGGCGGTGGGTTCGTTGGTGGAGAGAGAGAGACGGACCCTCTGCTCAAGAATAAAGAGAGATGGGGATGAATCGGGGATGAACGGACCTTCGGCTGTGGCGGTGGGTTCGGTGACTGTGAGAGAGTTGAGTTGAGAGAGAGAGAGAGAGAGAACGAGAGAGTTAAGAGAGAGAGAGAGAGAGAGTGGAGAACGAGAGAGTGAGAAAGTTGAGAGTTGAGAGAGAGAAGATAAGAGTCAGAGAGAGAGTGAGATAGTTGAGAGACGAGAGAGTTGAGATCAAAAGTGAAATAGACATTTATATAATACAAAGAGATACGGAGGCGGGGATAAACCGGGAAAATTTCGGGGTGGGGCCGGACCGGGGCCGATGAGCCTATCCCCATCCCCGGCCCAAAAATTATCGGGGATGTATTTCTCAATACCAGCCTCGGCCCTATGGTGAATAATTTTCGGGGAAAACCCTATTTATCGGGACAGGGCGGTCCGGGTCCCCGTCGGGCCAGGTTGATATTGCCATCCCTACTGTAACTCACCACCATCACCCCAATATGCATCCGCCATACTTCCCTCTCTGCTTGATGTAGCTCAAATTGTAGTTGAATTAGTTAGTGTACAACTATGCTTGTTTATTATGTACATCCTCATGCCTATATATAGATGTTTAGACTTCTAATAGTTTTTTTGCAAGATCAATGATAACGCTTACCAAGTCCAGTTGCCTTCCCATTGACTATGTCTAATATTTTCAATGTGCAAAACGTTGTACCTTAATTTATGAGTTATTCTTGAGGACAAGTTCTTTTAAGAGAGGAAGTGCTGATGTTTAAAAGAGGAAGTGCTGATGTAGTTGAAATGGAGTTGAACTAGTGTACAATTGTGCTTGTTTAGTGCGGTATATCTCATGCCAATACATAAACGTTTAGACTTCTAATAATAATTATTATTATTTTATACCCAAGATTTGGGATTCTATCTAATATATTGAAATTCTAGATTTGATAGATCACTTTCTCTTTCTCTTGTTCATTTCATTCCCTCACTAACCAATCCCAAATTTCTCGATGTTCTTGCAATGAAGAACGCTAGATCAGAGGGGCCTTTGTCACCATGCATTACTAATTTTTCACACAATACCACTCTCCTCCGCAGCCTTTACCGCTTGGAATGAGGACAATGTACTAGTTGTTTCTTTTTTGAAGCTTCACGAGCATGTATTTACTTCTCAGCAAGAAAGGTTATATTTAGATCTGATTTGATGTTTACTTTGGCTGATTTTTGTGGATTCCAAAAATAGGTGAGTTAAATTTGTTGATTTTCCATAAGGATTTTAATCTTGGGTTTGTTGTATGAGAAACGTTATATATGCCACTGGTTTTTTTAATCTTGTTTGGAAATACATGTTATCTATTTCCAAAATTATTTTACTATGTAAGTCATTAGGAGAACTTTGGACAGAAATTGGGCCTCAAACCCATATTTTTCCATGACATAGAAAATTGCTCAAAACAGATAATATAGTTTATTAGTTAATATGAGCCAAATTGCTCATAATAGACAATATAAATATCGAACTTAGGTCCAAAGAAAATATACCATCATGAGTCCGGCGGCAATGGAGGAGGTTGCTGCATCTGAAGCATGGACAGAATCTCGGCAAGCTAGAGAGAAGATTGGTCCAGGACAGGCTCAATATGTCCAAAGGAAGCCTCCAATGCAATAAGCCGAGTGTTGGTGGACGTCTCTAAGTTAGTGAGACGTGCATCATAAACATCTATCCGGGCGTCTAGGCGATCAAACCGTGCAAACATGGCCTGCTCAAACTAGTCAAGCTATCCTCGATCGGTACCAGCAATAGCAGGTTCTGCCCCCTCACCAGCAACGACAGCATGCAACTTAGCCTCTTCGTCCATCATATCCTTACCTGCACCACAACCACCCACCACTAACGAAGTCCCATTCACATGCGCCTCACTCTGGGATACAGTCTTTTTGGTAATGGGTTTGACAAGAGACGCAAACTCATCATTTAGAAAGAAAAGGACTGCGATAGGCGAGAGTATCCTATTCACAAAACACCCATATGGAATACGTAAGGATTTTTTTTCTTTTAAAAACCGAAATCATCTTTTCCACAATCATTTCCGAAAGATCAATAGGGAGACCACGATCTATACAGTAAAACACATATCCTTGGTCTGATGAGATGTTGGAACTGTGGTTAGTGACATGAACATGGTCACAGAGAATGATTTTCAAATGGCAAAAGCGAGGAATAAGTTCGTGTTGCTTAATAAGAGACCCGTCAATCCAACTCCGGGGTGTGCCACAAAGTTTAGAAGCCACCATGTCAAAGTTGGCAATTCGTTTGGCAAGGAAGGGAAAGTGACAATTACGAACTTCAGGAATACCAAGAAATGACTGAATATATTCTGCATTGACAAAAATTGGCTTCAAATGGACCCATGTTTTGAAAGAAGTAGAGACGTCGATCACGAATTGAGTGGATGTTACAATAGATTCCAACACCCAACTCAGATTTTAGGGCCCCGAGAAGAGTAGGACACGGTCACTACCCAAGGCATCAAAAATAAAATGAATGGGGATTGACTTGAAGGTATTAGGTTCGACATTATGCTTTAGATGGGCAGTCCTAGACTTGTACAAATCCCGACACAAGTTGGCTTTCTCAGACTGGAATTTCTTACTATTATAAGAGGTATGAGGCAAAGTGGCCTTTCGGCGTTTAGAAGATTCAGCCATGACTAAAACCCCAACAACACACATAAATCCATCAACGAAGAAACCACAACCAACCCCCCCTCCCCCCCCAAAATTGAGAACCCACCAACATTCATTACAATCCCAAATCCCCAATCACAACCATAAACCATAAGCATCATTAGTAAGAATAACGATAATAATGAGGTATATATTTACAAACCATTAAAAAAAAAAGAAAAAAAGCAGGGAAATAATAGAACGCAGTAAATAGATGTAAATTTGCCCTACCATAGCCACATTATTCAAATTATAGCAATGAAGGAGGCACTCAGATTCACTGTGAAATTGGAATGGTTGTACAATACAAAACAACATATATACATAATCCTTAAAATAAAATAAAAAAAGTGCTAGCAACAATACTTGGAATGGTGCAATTGGTGTTTTTTGGCACATTGTCAATATGAAATAAGAAATACTTGAACTCAATCAATTGAACTCAAATTGGTGTTGCACACAAGCCTTCATGTCCATATCCATGTCCATTCTCGATATGGAATTGTATCTAATTGAACACAGGTGTTGTATACATGCCTTCATGTCCATCCCGTACCATTTCACATTTTCCATTTATGTAAACTTCTAATACTGGTTCATTCTTTTCTGTAAGAATTATATAGATGATCTACCAACGATGGAATTTTTTGGAGTTTTCTGAATCACATGAAATTTTGCCTAACTCCTTACATGAATTGTATGAAATACGTATGAACAATGTAAGAAACATAATTTTCTACTAAAATTGTATCGCTTAAGTTCATAAGAGTTGATAAAATGTAGGAAACGAACGAGAGAGAAGAGGAAAAAAAACAAATTAAATACCTAAATATAGAAACACTTACCATGTACCGATAAAAAGCATGTAGAAAGGGGCTAATCCAAAAGAGAAAGTTGGATAACCGGCCAAGCACAGCATCAAGGATTTGCTGTAGTAGAGAGAGAGAGAGAGAGAGAGAGAGAGAGAGAAAATCAAACAAATTTGGGGAAAAAACCGAGTACAAATGGGTAATTTTTATTTCTTTGTGGGTAAGTCATAAATTAAGGACAAAAATTTATATGTTTACAAAGGGCATTCCCCAAGTAATACAACAAGAAATACAAAAGAAAGACTAAACCCCCTTATTAAGGGGGAGCAACTTAACAATACAAGAGTGTTGCTGATATATTTTGCCCTTGGTTACTTATATGCCAACAGTAAAGAAGGCAAAGTGACTAGGGGCAATATATAAGCAACACTAACATCGTATAACCTAATTTACCCATATATCCATTTTGTCCAAGTAAAAACTTGGCAACGATATATGGGCAAATATAAACTATTAACAACAAAACCTAACCAAGATAAAACAAGCAACAACTCACAAGACCAATCAAAAAATGATAACCACCCCCACTTGCCCCCAGTCTCTACCGCAGATAAACACATAGAATCCAATAAGCATCTCACTTCTCACAGTCGTGACATCCTAGCCACTTACTAAAGCCGTGACAGAGGAAAAAAATCTATCCCACGAGAAATCCCGACAGAGTTACATGAAACTAGCACAATCAATAACCATAATCAACAGTCTTGGGAGTTGTAGCAAAAACCGATAGCCACCACAACAGCAAACTAATACATAGCCAGAAAATAACATGAGAGCAATCACCACATCTCCCAATCCTTTCCTTGATAGATCACAAGCTTCAATCCCCACGGCAACATGCCATTCACTCCGTGTCAAGTGTTGCAATACGATTAATTAGGATGGGTAACAAGAAAATCGATAGCTAACCTCCTGCTTATCTCCCAGTCTCTAACTCGGCTAGTCATCGAATCACTATTCCCCATAGCAGTGACTCCTCAATTACTCTTGGCAGAGATGGCTCAAAACTAACCTCATATCGAGTCACATGAGGATCACACGATCAATCATCATGAGAAAATCAATTATAAATGGTCCGCCGCATTGTGGCTAAACTGAAATTTATGAGCTCATCAATCATGTAAATATATGCAATCTATCCAAAAAAAATCAATGAGCCCAAATAATTCAAAAGTCCAAAACGAGCCTAACGGCAAGCCCACTTAATCAAACCCAATCTCAAAGCCTAATATGCCGAAAGAAGGTGCACCAAGTGTTTGTTTGGCATGTGTTAAAATAACATATTTTATTTTAGCACATTATCGTATTTGGGTCACAATCATTTTATTTAAGTCACCTCACCTCTAGCACGTCACTTTAAATCCAACTCATATTTCACTTTCTTTCGTAAAAAATCAAAAAATATATTAATCTAACACTTCCTAAACAATCCCTAAATAACATCAAATGAGCCCCATAACCCACTCTCCACAATATATAGGGGATGTTTGGAAAGAATTTTTTTGAAATTTTTTTTTTCACTACAAGGCAAATTTGTTACAAAATAAAAAAAAATAAATAAATCCAAACAAAATATCATATCAAATCCCATAATCATTTCACTTTTTCTCTCATAAACATCACATTCAATCACAAAAAACCAACTATCTTCTCAAATTCAAAAAAAAATTTCTTCAATAATATTCTACAACTAAAAAAACTCATTTTCCAAATACCCGCTTATACTACCACCAATATAATCAGCGGCTTCGTCAACAAAAGCAGACCAGTGACACAAGAAAGACAACACGCAACAAATTCCAAGAACTGGACGCCCACGTGAACCACTTGCACAACATATATAACAATTGTATATATATAAAACATATATAAGATATACATCAGCCCATTTGTCGTAAACAAGTGGGCCGACCAAAAAGCACTTACCCATTCTCCAACGCACCAGCGCAGCCCAGGCGGGAAAAACACAGCTGTTGTCCACCGATCCCATCAATCACCACGTGAGTGATAGAGCCCAGGTTACGTCACCAAAGAAGCTATTTCGCCGGTGCCGGAGCAACAGAAACCCTGTGGGCAATTATCCACCGAACCATGAACAACCCAGAAAACAAACAATATACCGGCGTATGAGTTGAGACAGACCCACCATTGCCGAAACGACTTGCCTACTTACAACTCCATACCAGTAACTCACGCACAAGGCATCACCGGCGGAAAAGGTTCAGTCGCCGGAGATGGATGCAAGGAACCAACCAACCAGAAAGCTAGTAGACTACCTGCACCAACCGCGCTATCACTAAGTTCGTAACAACCCACCTCCTTCACGGTGCACCAAACACTTCATTGGCAGTGGCAAACCTGTCAGCGTAGCAGGAGCTCACCACCCCAGATCTCACACCCGTTAATTTCATTCTCTCTAGACTAGAGAGAGGCAAACAAACTCCATCGAGGCAGCGTAGCAGTCAACATGGCGGCAAGGAGCAAGAAGCCAAAACCGGCGCTAGAAACCCAGCGACAGTAAAACCCACTACCGGAGAACCCACTAAAACCATCTTCAGCTATGGCCACTCGAACCATAACACGAAGAAAACTCCACCGTCAAGCATAACAGGCGGCTTTACTGGCCTGAGTTGAACCAGAACATCATCACTAAAATACAACCGGGGGGAGCTTTCTCTCTCTAGAAAGAGAGGCTCTCTTTTGGTCCCCAACTTTGGGTCTCGTTTGTTTTTATATAATTAAAATGGAGTAGATTCATAGTACGATTTGTTTAAAAATGGAGTAGATTCATAGTACGATCACGTTTGTTTGTTTAGTTGATTAAGGGTTGTTTTACATGATTTAGCCTCCGTTTGGCAAGGGCTTTTTTGGCTATTTTAGCCACAAAAAACAAAATAGGCTATTTTAGCCATAACAAACAAAACATCACATCCAACCTATAATCATTACATTCTTCTCTCACAAAAAAAGTCAAAAAAGCCAAAAAGCCAAAAAGCCCTTCCCAAACTAAGCTTTTTAGCCCAGGCTAAAATAGCCAAAAAAGCCAAAAAGCCAAAAAGTCAACCCACTTCCCAAACGGAGGCTTAAATTAATGTATTTTTTATTTTTTTATAAAAAGATATATAGAAAAATAGAGAGATAATATGATGGAAAAAAAATAAAAAGATGGATTATTTGTAACTTTCTAAATTTGGTCTAAATTAAATGTGATTGTTAATGAGAGGATTATTAGTAGATAAATTATTAATGAAATGATTAAGTAAAAGTGTATTTATTTTAATGATAGTGTAAAAAATAATTAGTGATCAAATTGTTAAATTATTTTTATATAAAATAAATAAATAAATTATTTTTATATTAAAAAAACTAAAACAAATAGGTGTACTTGCTCAAAAAAATAAAAAAATTAAAAAATAAATAAAATTTTTATATAAAATAAACTTAATCTCCTTATTATTTTCCTACTTTCATTCAAAATTCACTCAAACTAATCTCCCTCAAGCCGCTTGGAGTAGCAATCTCACTTCACAAGGAAGTCACCAAACAAGAGTTAGTGGGACCCACCTCTTTACTGCTCCAATCTCACCCCCTAATTTCTCAAACAAGCATGACCTAAGGCCACGTTTGTTTAGCGGATTAGGTTGGATGAGATTATTAGTGAGAGGATTGTTAATGAGGAGATTAAGTAAAAGTATGTTTTGATGATAGCGTGAGAGATGATTAGTGATCGGATTATTAAATTATTTTTATATAAAATAAATAAATAAATTATTTCTATATTGAAAAAAAAACTAAAACAAATATTAAAACAAATAGATACACTTAGAAAAAACATAAAATTAAAAAACTAATTTTTTTTTATATAAAATAGATTCAATCCTCTCACTATTTTCCTAATCACACTTAAAATACACCCAAGTTAATCCTCCTATATAGGGGGATTACTAAACTCCCTTTACTACTAATCCTATGACATTTTGTTGCAGTCAAACAAGGGTTTGATAGGTCCCATGGATTGGTAATCCAATCCACCCTCCTAAAACCTCAATCAAACGTGGCTTAAGAAAATTGATAGTGAGGGGATTAAATAAATTATATTTGTTTTGATAATAGTTGTTGGGGTAAGAATTGTTAAATTTTTTTATTTAAAATAATAAAATAAATAAAAAATTACAAAAACATTAAACATTAATGTTCAAAAAAAAATGCCTAACGTGTAAAAAATAAAATGAAAAATTAAAAAATAAAAAATTTCCAAAAAAAATAAAACAAATAAAGCAATGATTTTTACTTAACAAAAATTAAAAAAAAAAATAAACATTATGTTCAAAAAAAAATGACCAACAAGTAAAAAATAAAAAAAAATAATTGGACGGACTAATTTCAAATACCAAGTCTCACGGGCCTATCCTAATCCCCTCTCCAACTTTGAAAACAAACATGATATTACTGGATCCCACCTCACTATGAATCACAATCCTCTCCTTATAACCTAAAACAAACGGGGCCTTAGTTTATTACAAACAAATAGGTAGTTTCGGTATATAAACTCGCATGCCGCTCGAGCCATCTCTTTTGAGCTAGAGCGAAGACACGAACCCAGAAGCTATCTGCTCGAGCCAATATACAGTCACTCAAGCCCACAAGTGGTGTTCTCAGCCGTTCGTTGACCTGCAAATACACTAGATTGCAGCATTATGCACACGAGCCATGATCATGTTGGCTTAATCCGTCATCATGTTCACTCGAGCATACATCTAAGAGCGTCAGAACTTTTGCAGCTAGGGTGCAACTTCTAGGACCATGGAATGTTGGCTCAAGCCATCATTTCTTGGCTTGAGCGACCAACACTAAAACAAAGCAAATTAGAACGATCAGGAGTTATCCATGGCTATGATTATTTGCTTGACTTTTACACTAGTAACCTAATAGCTTGGAGTCTGTATAAATAGCCAATCCTTTCCTTTTTTTTTCCCAATCAAGATGGCATTGAATTATTCACTCAACAATTTTATGATCATTTTACTATGAAAAATATATACATAAAAAATAAGGCACAACGCATTGAAATAATGAAGTATTGTGTCAAATGGTTATTAAGAATCTATTTCATTTTGTATTATTGAATCAACCAGTATGTCAACTCTTTGAAGCTGACCGCACATTCCAACACAACCCATTTATTTTAGCCCAAGTTACTTTGAAGACCAACCTTATTGTCGAAACAAGAATATCATAGATGACACAACAAACACAAGCTGACTTCACAACCATCTGTGTTGGAACTCAGAGGTCCTCAAAAGAGAAATGAATTCAGAAACAAACAATGAACACTAATCGTTTATTATACAGTGGTCTTTCTTAATAGAAAAACATAAATGAAGAGGCAACAATAGAATAATATCCTCCTCCTTTAACCCACAAACAAATTGTTCATCTTCAATGAAATTCTAACATCCTACACAGTACATGCCAAATTTACACAAAAATCCCTATCAACCATGTGTGAGTTTCACCAACATATGCAAAGATACTAAATTAAATCATTGCATTTAAATGTAGAACATTTTCAAATTCACTTTACGCTCCACACTCATGCAGAGGTCCAATCTTTTACATTGATAGAGACTTCACAAAAATGTTAAAAATCCACTGAAGTACATATCAGTAGGAAGCTTACAATAGTGCTTAACATGTACAATATACTTTACAAGTGAATTTTCAATTTTACAAAATATATGCCATATAATGTCTTCAAACATGTTCTTTTACGAAAAGTACTTGGACGCCTCTCTAGTGCTTCGACACCTTCATACTTGTTCTCCATCACATTCTGAAATGTCCATGTATCCCCAATCAAGATGGCATTGAATTATTCACTCAACAATTTTATGATCGTTTTACTATGAAAAATATATACATAAAAAATAAGGCACAACGCAATGAAATAATGAAGTATTGTGTCAAATGGTTATTAAGAATCTATTTCATTTTGTATTATTGAATCAACCAGTATGTCAACTCTTTGAAGCTGACCGCACATTCCAACACAACCCATTTATTTTAGCCCAAGTTACTTTGAAGACCAACCTTATTGTCGAAACAAGAATATCATAGATGACACAACAAACACAAGCTGACTTCACAACCATCTGTGTTGGAACTCAGAGGTCCTCAAAAGAGAAATGAATTCAGAAACAAACAATGAACACTAATCGTTTATTATACAGTGGTCTTTCTTAATAGAAAAACATAAATGAAGAGGCAACAATAGAATAATATCCTCCTCCTTTAACCCACAAACAAATTGTTCATCTTCAATGAAATTCTAACATCCTACGTAGTACATGCCAAATTTACACAAAAATCCCTATCAACCATGTGTGAGTTTCACCAACATATGCAAAGATACTAAATTAAATCATTGCATTTAAATGTAGAACATTTTCAAATTCACTTTACGCTCCACACTCATGCAGAGGTCCAATCTTTTACATTGATAGAGACTTCACAAAAATGTTAAAAATCCACTGAAGTACATATCAGTAGGAAGCTTACAATAGTGCTTAACATGTACAATATACTTTACAAGTGAATTTTCAATTTTACAAAATATATGCCATATAATGTCTTCAAACATGTTCTTTTACGAAAAGTACTTAGACGCCTCTCTAGTGCTTCGATGCCTTCATACTTGTTCTCCATCACATTCTGAAATGTCCATGTATCAACTTCTGTGTATTTTTTCCATTGAAGAGCATGAACAATAGTCTAATATTTAAAAAACAATAACATTAGCATATTGAAACAATACGAAAAACAGATAATGAAACATAATGAATTAAAGATACCTTATTACAATTCCATTGGACCAATGTAGTCATATTTATCCTCTTTAGCTCCGTAGCTTTTTGAACCCAATCCTACAAAAGTTCACTTTGATCATAATTACAACACAATTTTACTTGAAATACACTAGGTCAGAAATGAGTCATATGACATTTTATTAGGGAAAAGAAAAATAGGGAGGGAAAGAAGCTCAATCAAACTGCTAAGTAAATAGTATGGAAATGAACAACCTTTTCCTTCCTCTAATCAATAATCAATTTGAAGACATTGGAAGTCCAAATTCCAAGCTAATATGAAAAAATAAATCTATTTTGAACTAAGTTAGAAGTTAGAGTTAAAGACCCAAAATACAAGAGAAGCAAATCAATTTCTAGCATATATTCAGAAACTTCAATCCCGTATCCTACTTGACTATAACTCTATAGTTTCTGAAAATCTATATAAATACAACAAATAGTTGGTGTAGATTACAGATATAAGTAGGACATTTCCTAAAGAACTTGAAACACTTTTAAGCAGGACATAGCCGTACTTCTTTGGATAATACAAAAAAAAAAAAAAAGCCCATTATTGACAAAAAAATAATTACAAAATAACATAAGCAAAAAGCCATAACTATATAAGAAGCCACAAATTAAACATTCTAGACTAATCCAAGAGAAACCACCACTGAAGATAATGTGTGAAGCTACTTACCAGTGTTGGTTGTTCCTAATGTGCTAATTTTCCCCCAGTTCCACAACCCATTCTAAAATGTCCATATATCAACTTCTGTGTATTTTTTTCCATTGAGGAGCATGCACAACAATCTAATATTTAAAAGACAATAACATTAGCATATTGAAACAATACGAAAAATAGATAATGAAACATAATGGATTAAGGATACCTTATTACAAT